CTTGGCCTGCAAAGTGCTGGGATTACAGGCGTGAGCCACCAGGCCCAGCCACTGCAGCGAGTTTTGATCGTGCCACCGGACTTCAGCCTGAGTGACAGAGCGAGACTTACCCGTGACAAGTATCCCCTTGTCTGTGTTGGGACGGGCCTTCTGGCCTGAGGCTCTGAAGATTCCTGTCCTCCAGCGGGTGGCGGGACAGGCGGCTCACCCACGTCCCCGACCCAGGTTCCAGCTCCATAACACCCTGCTTTTATTTATTTATTCAGACCGAGTCTCGCTTTGTCGCCCAGCATGGAGTGCCGTGGCACGATCTCAGCTCACTGCAACCTCTGCCCTCTGGGTTGAAGCAATTCTGCCTCAGCCTCCTGAATAGCTGGTTTTACAGGTGCCCACCACCACGCCCAGCTAATTGTATTTTTGGTAGAGACAGGGTTTCACCATGTTGCCCACACTGGTCTCGAACTCCTGACCTCAAGTGATCCGCTGGCCTCACCTCCCAAAGTGTTGGTATTACAGGCATGAGCCACCATGCCTGGCCTCATTCTGTTTAACAGCTACTTAATTTTAGGTACTATGGTGACAAAGACTCTTTCCTTGACGGAACTCTAGCCAGGTTCCTCTGGGCTCCCTGCTAAGGGTCAGCCTTGATCTACAGGCACCGTGGCTCATGCCTGTAATCCCAGCACTTCAGGAGGCCAAGATGAGATGATCCCCTTGAGCCCAGAAGCTTAAGACCAGCCTGGGCAACATAGCAAGATCCTGCCTTTCTGGAATTTTTTTTTTTTTTTGAGGCGGAGTTTCGCTCTTGTTACCCAGGCTGGAGTGCAATGGTGCGATCTCAGCTCACTGCAACCTCCGCCTCCTGGGTTCAGGCAATTCTCCTGCCTCAGCCTCCTGAGTGGCTGGGATTACAGGCATGCGGCACCATGCCCAGGTAATTTTTTGTATTTTTAGTAGAGACAGGGTTTCACCGTGTTGACCAGCACGGTCTTGATCTCTTGACTTCATGATCCACCTGCCTCGGCCTCCCAAAGTGCTGGGATTACAGTACAAATTTTTTAAATAATTTCTTTCTTTCTTTCTTTCTTTCTTTTTTTCTTTCTTTCTTTTTTTTTTTTTTTTTTTTTTGAGACAGAGTCTCGCTCTGTTGCCCAGGCTGGAGTGGTGCAACTGCAGGATCTCAGCTCACTGCAACCTTTGCCTCCTGGATTCAAGCAATTGTCCTGCCTCAGCCTCCCAAGTAGCAATTACAGGCGTATGCCACCACGCCCAGCTAATTTTTTGTATTTTTAGTAGAGACAGGGTTTCACCGTGTTAGCCAACCTGGTCTTGAACTCGTGACCGCCCCAGCCTCCCAAAGTGCTGGGATTACACATGTGAGCCACCGCCTGGCCTGAAATTTTTTTTTTTAATTAGCTGGGCATATTGGAGCACACCTGTAATCGTAGCTAATCAAGAGGCCAGGTGGGAGGATGGCTTGAATCCAGGACTTTTGAGACTGCAGTGAGTTTGTTTGTTTGTTTGTTTGTTTTATAAAGACGGATTTTCACCATGTTGGTCAGGCTGGTCTTGAACTCCCAACCTTAGGTGATCCGCCTGCCTTGCCCTCCAAAGTGCTTGGATTACAGGTATGAGCCACCAGGCCCAGCCACTGCAGCAAGTTTTGATTGTGCCACTGGACTTCAGCCTGAGTGACAGAGCAAGACTTATCTCAAAAAAGAAAAAAAAAAGACCTAAACAAACACTGTTTCTAACAACTGCTAACATCTCTAAAATGACTCTAGCCAACCCCCACTAAGATGCCTTCCTGAGAAAACTCAGTAATAAATGTTTACTGTTCATTCCAGGCAACCACTAACAATGTGACCTCTGTGGGAGGCAAAAATTATAACTTTGATCATTGCCAACTGGCAGACACAGCTAGCCTCACTGCATGTACACTGACTAACCTTTTGTAATTTTTCACTTCGCTGACTCTACTAATCATTTGCCCACACCTTCCTCCCTCAATCTTCCTTTTTTTTATTTTGTATTTTTTTGAGACAGGGTCTCACTCTGTTGCCAATGCTGGAGTGCAGTGGTGCAATCAGAGCTCACTGCAGCTTTGACCTCCCAGGCTAATGTGATCTTCCCACCTCAACTTCACCACCACGCCTGACTACTTTATTCATTTGTAGAGATGGGGTTTTACCATATTGCCCACTCTGGTCAACCTCCCTTTAAAATACCCATTCACCTCTGTACAAATTAAAGCTGAGTTTAGTTCATACTGGACTCTTTTCCCTATTGCAATAGTCATTACTGATTAAAATCTGCCCTTACCACTTTAACTAGTGGCTGACTTTGTTTGACAATTGATAGGAAAAAAACCATTCCGCCATTCTCCTATTAGTAGAATTTGAGATAGTTTCTCTCTCTTCTCTCCCCTCTTCCTTCCTTTCTTTTTCAGTATAATGAATATCCAATCTATGCCCTTTTCACAGATGAGGAAACTGGGCCCAGGGCAGGAGAGTCCCAGCTGCTATTTGGTTTTTGTTTTGTTTTTTTGAGATGGAGTCTTGCTCTGTTGCCCAGGCTGGAGTGCACTGGTGGGATCTTGGCTCACTACAACCTCTGCCTCCTGGATTCAAGTGATTCTCCTGCCTCAGCCTCCAGAGTAGCTGGGATTACAAGGGTGTGCCACCACTCCCAGCTAATTTCGTGGTTTTAGTAGACAGGTTTTCACCATGTTGGCCAGGCTGGTCTTGAACTCCTGACCTGGAATCTGCCTGCCTCAGCCTCTCAAAGTGTTGGATTACAGGCGTGAGCCACGGCACCTGGCCTCCCTTGTGATTTGAATGCCTATGATTTGCATACGTGACCATACGTGCTCCTGGCCCTGGGTGCACATTGGAATCTCCTAAGGCACTTTTCATAAATATGTATTCTAGAGCCCCATCCCAGGTCTCCAGAATCAGGATCTCTCAGTGTGGAGTCCTGGATTCCGAGGTTAAGTATCTTCAAGTAATTCTGATCCTACCATGCGTAGACTGGTGTTCGGGCACCACTGGATCCTCCCACTGGCTTTGAGAGGTGTGTGCATTGTTCTCATTTTGCCAGTGAACAAAATGAGCCTTGAAGTGGCATAGTCAGACTAGGAGCAAAGGTCTCCTGACTCCCGGTCCTCCGGTACTGGTCATATAAAGAAGCACCTTGGCCAGGCGCGGTGGCTCACGCCTGTAATCCTAGCACTTTGAGAAGCTGAGGCAGGTGGATCATGAGGTCAAGGAATTCAAGACCAGCCTGGCCAAGATGGTGAAACCACATCTCTACTAAAACTACAAAAATTAGCCAGGCACTGTGGCAGATGCCTATAATCCCAGCTACTTGGAGGCTGAGACAGGAAAATTCCTTGAACCTGGGTGGCAGAGGTTGCAGTGACCTGACATCAGGCCACTGCACTCCAGCCTGGATGACAGAATGAGACTCCATATCAAAAAAATAAAAATTAAAATTTAAAAAGCCCAGGCGTGGTGACTCACGCCTGTAATCCTCCTAGCACCTTGGGAGGCTGAGGTGAGGGAGATCACCTGAGGTTGAGTGTTCGACGCCAACCTGACCAACATGGAGAAACTCCATCTTTACTAAAAATACAAAAATTGGCCAGGCATGGTGGTGCATGCCTATAATCCCAGCTACTCAGGAGGCTGAGGCAGGAGAATCACTTGAACCCAGGAGATTGAGGTTGCAGTGAGCTGAGATCGTGCCATTGCACTCTAGCTTGGGCAACAAGAGCGAGACTAATGTCTCAAAACAAAACAAAACACCAGAAAGAAACACTTTGGCCAGGTACAGTGACTCACTCTTATAATCCTAGCACTTTGTGAGGCCAAAGTGGAAGGATCACTTTACTTCAGGAGTTCAGATCAGACTGGGCAACATAGTGAAACTCCATCGCTACAAAAAAATACAAAAATTAGCTGGGCATGGTGGCATGCACTTGTAGTCCCAGGCTGAGGCTGGAGGATGGCTTAAGCCCAAGAGGCGGCGGTTGCAGTGAGCCAAGGTCGAATCACTGCACTCCAGTGTGGGTGACAAAGCGAGACCCAGTCTCAAAAAAAAAAAATATTGTCCCATGCTCTGCCCAGGACACCTTCAGTGAAATGTTTTTCACTCTCCGAGATTAGGGGGCTACATATTGAATATTTTCTTGACTTAAGGAAGTAGAAAGGGCTTGGGTTTTCGAGCTGGACAGACCTCAATGAAATCCATCCTGACCCTCAAATAGTGGTAACACCCCCTCTTTTTATTTTATTTATTTTTTTCTTTTTTGATATTTTTTTCTTAGGAAGACCTCACCCAAAACACCCCTTCAACACAGAGATGACATAGATGAACTGAATCCCACAGTACAAGAATCACAAAACACTGGTCTCCTTTGCATCATAGGAGCTAACAGCATGTGGTGTTGGCATTTCACATGGATGGCATTTGCTTCTCATAACAGACAGGTGAGTTACGTATTACTATATTCATATTACTGTCACCAGTAATCAAATGGAACCCCAGAGGTTAAGTGACTAATCTCAAAATGGTGTAGCAGGAATTTGAACCCAAGAATTTCACTCTAGTCCCTAATAGTCACTGAACAGAAAATACAAATTTTGCCCCAGAATCTGGTCATTTCAGCCAAATGGGGACTAATCTCAAAATGGTGTAGCAGGAATTTGAACCCAAGAATTTCACTCTAGTCCCTAATAATCACTGAACAGAAAATACAAATTTTGCCTCAGAATCTGGTCATTTCAGCCAAATGGGGCAAGCCCATCCTCCATAAAGGGGAGTCTTGCATCAAGCAGGGTTCAGCACAAAGATTCGCCACCAGCTGCTTAAAGCTCACCCGTATTCTCAAACAGACCCGCTCCTGCCAACCCCCCATCACCACCTCTCCTACCGAGCACGAAAGAAACCAGTGAGGAGATGGTCAGCTCCCCAAGAATAACAAGGCCCAAGAAAAATACTTCACGTTATTATCAATGTTTATTATTTCATAAAAGTTAGAGACCAAGGCCACAGTGTCTTTAAACCCCTCCCTCCCCACCCACATACTGCTCAAAAACCACCCCCACCCTGCTATAAAAACAACAGAACACAACAAAAATACTGCAATTGAGGCTGAGGCGGGAACACGGTGGCTCCAGCAAAAATAAGACAGAAACACAAGACACAACATCTTTTCAGGTTTATGTAAAAATTGCCATGGCCCACGGGGAAAGTGATCAAAGCGGTCATGGCCGTGTCAACAAGGATACTTCAAATTCATGGCTTCTGGAGGTTTGAGACAGCTGCCACTTCTGGGGCATCTTCTGGGCTCAACTGCAGGAACTGAGGATGCTGAAGGGCAGGGATAGACCCCTTGCCCCACTCTGAAGTTTAGGCCATTGGCTGGATGTGCTTTTCACTGGGGAAGACCTCATAGGCTCCTTCCTCCTTTCCAGCGAGAGGGACACAGTGAGAGGGCTGGAGGCCCCAAAAGCCTCCAGTGCCGAAGATAAGGAAGCCAGGCAAGAGATTTCCCTGTCTAGAAAGAAGGCCTTCCACTGGACAAAGTTCATGGCTCTGGGAGCCAGCAGGCCTGCATTCACATGGCATAAAGCCCTACAGCAACTGTCGCCACCAGAAAGCTGAGTGTAAGGACCCAACGGAGAAGCGGAGCCTGGGAGCTGGTGTTGAGAAGGGGCTTCCCTCTGGGAGTCTCCACCAGGGTAGAGTCTGAAAGAGAAAATGGGGCAAGGTCAATAATAGGTGGGCGTGCATTGGGTGTCTGATGTCACAGAAAAGCAAAGCAGCGTGGCCTCAGTGTCTGTGGTACAGTCCCTACCCAACACCAGGGTTCTGCAAGACCACAAACAGGCGTCGCTCCAGCCACTGCTTGAATACCTTCAAAGATGGGTGGCTTACTACTTCTCCAAGCTGTATGTTCCGTGTGTAGCCAAGCCACATTGTGAAAACGTTCTTGGACCCAGGCGTGCTTTTCAGACTTCTGCCTGCTACCTGTCCTCTCCTCAAACTTGGCCAGTGATTAGGTCTGAGCTGTAAATCTTCATCTTGGACTCACACATTTTCTTTTTCTTTTTTCTTTTCTTTTTTTTTGAGACAGAGTCTCCCTGTCACCCAGGCTGGAGTGCAGTGGCACAATCTCAGCCCACTGCAACCTCCACCTCCCCGGTTCAAGCAATTCCCCTGCCTAGCCTCCTGAGTAACCGGGATTACAGGCGCGTGCCACTATGCCCAGCTAATGTTTTTGTATTTGTAGTGGAGATGGGGTTTCCCCATGTTGGTCAGGCTGGTCTTGAACTCCTGACTTTGTGGTCCGCCTTGCCTTGGCCTCCCAAAGTGTGGGATTACAGGCATGAGCACTGTGTCCAGCCAGACTCACACATTTTCTAAGCGTGGTGAACGGGGCAGGAGCTTTGTCCTCAGAGACCCCCTTGAGGGGATACTAGGGCTACCACCCCCACCCCCAAGCCAGGGTACCACATTTTGCGAACTGCTGCATTAGGGTGACATCTCCCTACCCCACCAGGTAACCAAGCCCTCTGGGGCTACAACTCCCCCCACCCAGTAGACGGGTCCGTGTGGTCTGGCACAACTGAGAAAGCCGCAGGCCTGGCAGGTTAGGGTGGCATGGGAGGGGAGGCCTAACATAACCGACCGGGGGGCAGCTAAGCTTTACCCCTTTATTGCTACCGATCCCAAAGCCACACTCCCTCCCTCCGAGTTTTAGGCTTAGCGAAGGTATATTTTATGGAGGGTTTTGGTCTTTTTGCAAGTTTCCCAGATGTTTTCACTATAGCCAGCCTCGATCACTCTCAAGCACACGAGGGAGGGGCTCACGAACAACAAGACTCGGAAGGGACGTCTGCCTCTGATGGGTTCATAGCTGGATAAAGGTCCCCCACTCCCTGGCCCACAGAGGAGCAAAGGAGTCTAAATTAAGGGACGGGAGTTTCCCATGACTTCTGAGGGGTGCTTGTGCACTTCTAAGCCAATGAACTAGAAGTAGCTGAACCTCACTGGATTTTTCCAGGTGGGGAAACTGAGGTGGGGGAAGTCTGATGGCTTGCCCAGAGCTACACACTGCAGGTTGATCCTAGGTCCTTTTGCCTGAACTCCACTTCTCATATAAAACAATTCAGGCGGCCGGGCGCGGTGGCTCACATCTGTAATCCCAGCACTTTGGGATGCCGAGGCGGGTGGATCACCTGAAGTCAGAAGTTTGAGACCAGCCTGGCCCAGCATGGTGAAACCCCATCTTTACTAAAAATACCAAAAAAATTAGCCAGGCATGGTGGTGGGCACCTGTAATTCCAGCTACTCAAAAGGCTGAGGTCGGCCGGGCGCGGTGGCTCACGCCTATAATCCCAGCACTTTGGGAGGCCGAGGCGGGTGGATCATGAGGTCAAGAGATCGAGACCATCCTGGTCAACATGGTGAAACCCCGTCTCTACTAAAAAGACAAAAATTAGCTGGGCATGGTGGCGCACGCCTGTAGTCCCAGCTACTCGGGAGGCTGAGGCAGGAGAATTGCTTGAACCCGGGAAGTGTAGGTTGCGGTGAGCCAAGATTCGTTCCACTGCACTCCAGCCTGGGTAACAAGAGCAAACTCTGTCTCAAAAAAAAAAAAGGCTGAGGTTTCAGTGAGCCAAGATTGTGTCATTGCACTCCAGCCTGGGCAACTAGAACAAAACTTTAAGTCTCAAAAAAAATTCAGTCTGGGCATAGTGGTTCTTGCCTGAAATTGCAGCACTTTGGGAGGCAGAGGCAGGAGGATTGCCTGAAGTCAAGTGTTCAAAACCAGCCTGGGTAACACATCGAGACCTTGTCCTTACAGGGAAGGGGTGCAGGGGGGAGGTGGCAGAAAACAACACCCACCACACCAAACATTCAGAAAACAGAAGAGTAGAGATACTAGAGTCAGACAGCCAGGGCACGTCCCTCTCCATCTGTAGCTCAGAGGAAATGCCCCTCCCTGGACGCTCTCACCTTGCACTTTGTTACTGGCCCTCTGGCGAAGCCCTGGTGCCTGTGAGGGGCTCTGATCCTTGGTGTCATGGGTCAGCAGCTTCTGCAACTCCTCAAAGAGCTAAAAGACAAAAGACACACATGCCTATCAGCAAGAGATGCTGCTGGGTCCCAGCTGTAGGTAGGACCTTACGTTAGGTTAGGGGATACTTTGGAAATAACAAGATGGTAAGAAAAATGCTGCATATTCATGTCCCTTTCACCCACCTTCAGAGGTAAGATATTCCAAGCTCAGTTGGCTCGCATGCCTGCTCCTGCCCTCCCCACCGATAACAGCGATCCTGGATTTAGAGTTTACTGTGGCTACATGTGCCTGCAGCCTGTTTCTCCAAGCAAAAGGCTGCATTGCTTGTTTTGAAATAATATTAAGTGGCATCCTAGTACACGAACTCTTCTATGGCTGCTTTCTCCTCTTGAGTTTAGATTTGTGAAATTCAGCTTTGGTGGGTGGTAACAGGGATAATAATGGTACCTACATCTTAGGTACCATGAATGGTATCTATCAGTCTTGCAGATGAAGAAAGTACAGGTTAAGTGCTTTGCCCAAGGACCAACCCAGAGGTCAGGTACCAAGAGCTGTGACTTTTTTTTTTTTCTTGAGACATACTCTCCCACTGTTGCCCAGGCTGGAGTTCAATGGCATGATCTTGGCTCACTGCAACCTCCGCTTCTTGGGTTCAAGTGATTCTCCTGCCTCAGCCTCCCAAATAGCTGGGATTATAGGCACGGGCCACCATGCCCAGCTAATTTTTATATTTTCAGTAGAGACGGGGTTTTACCATGTTGGCCAGGCTAGTCTCGAACTCCTGACCTCGTGATCCACTCGCCTTGGCCTCCTAAAGTGCTGGGATTACAGATGTGAGCCACCATGCCCGGCCCAGTTTTTCGTTGTTGTTTTTTGAGACAGTCTTGCTCTGCTGCTGTTGCCCACGCTGGAGTGCAGTAGCACAATCAGAGCTTACTACAACCTTGACCTCCTGGGCTCAAGCAACCCTCCCACTTCAGCCTTCCAAGTAGCTGGGACTACAGGCGCATGCTACTATCCCTGGCTAATTTTTTCATTTTTTTTGACAGGGTCTTACTGTGTTACCAGGGCTGGTCTCAAACTCCCAGGCTCAAGCTATCTTCCTGCTTTGGCCTCCCAAATTGTTGGTATTACAGGCGTGAGCCTGAGAGCCAGTTCTGACTCCAAATCCCTTTAATTTTTAATTTTTTTTTTTTTTTTTTTTTTTTTTTAAGTAGAGACAGGATCTCGCCGTGTTGCCCAGGCTGGTCTAAAACTCCTGAGCTCAAGCAATCCACCCGCCTTGGCTTCCCAAAGTGCTGGGATGACAAGTGTTTTATTTTGACTACACGTCTCGAAAAACAGATTTTCTTGGAGGACTGATTGGATTTTCTGAGCAGAGAGGGTGGAAAGCAAAGGCCTTACTCCATAATCGGGGCCAGGACTAGAATCTTCTGCAATACAAGGCTGGGAGCAGGGAACCAGGAGGGCATGAGCCCAAGACCCAGGCCCCATGGCACCTCCAGGGGGTAGCAGAGAGAGAGGGTCTATGACATCTGGTTAGAAGGAGCCCCTCACCCCTCCACCTCTGCTCCAGATTCTTCCAGGCTTTGCCCAAACCCCACATTCCCCCTGGATTTGAGGCACTTGTAGAGAGAGGCAAACCTCTCCGGCTAGTATGCTGAGAGTCCCTGGAAGGCAGAGGCCACCTATAACCCTGGGAGTGCCAACCTGGCTACACACTAGTGCACACTCAACTTCTACGTTGCCACAGAGAGCTACAACTGATTCTCATTTCCCATCATGACAGTAGTGAATGTCCGAGGGCTTCCTCTGTGCCAGACGCTGCTGTGGGGACTTTCACTGCTGTAAACTCACTCAAGCCTTACGAGTCTAAGATGTAGGTACCATTATTATCCCTTGTTTACAGATAGGGAAACTGCAGTACAGAGAAATTAAGGCATTTGCCCAGGATCACCCAGCTAGTAAGCGGCAGTCCTGGAACCCTGCTTCCCTGTGTTAACCATGACCCTCCCCTCCCACAGCACTCTCCCCTACAATGAGAAGGGTCCCTTGGAGGAACAGCTCGGGAAGGCAGAGGCTGCCCCAGGCTGCCCAACCCTCACCTGGATGTTGAGCAGGAACGCCATCTTGGCCTCTTCCATCACCCGCTGCCTGACCTCGGGAGTCATCTCCAGAGAGTTCATGCGGGAGCGGTAGAGCTGCTTGAACTTGGTGGCACTGTCGATATTGGGGAAGGTGAAGAAGGCCAGGCCCTCGCCAGAGCTGGGCAGGCCCAGGACTTTCTGAGCAATCTTCTTGAGCACCTGGCCCCCAGACAGGTCACCCAGGTAGCGGGTATAGGCGTGGGCCACCAGTAGCTCAGGCTCTGCACGCCCCACCTCATGGAGCCGCTTCACATAGCGCTGCATGGCTGGTGTGTAGGGGATCACCTCCTGCCAGCGGGGCCCATACCAGAAGGCCAGGTCCTGCTCCAGAGCGGCCTTGCGGTGCAGCTCTTCTGGGAAGTAGAGAGGGGCGAACGCTGGGTTCTCCTTGTTGCGCTCAATCTCCTCCTCCAGGGCCACGTAGATGTGGTGCAGGGAGGCCATCACCAGCTGAAAGCAGAGCGAGCAGGTCGGGCCACCAGCCACATAGAAGACGCCCACCTCCATCCGTCCCCTCCACTCCTGCCTTTGGAAAGGCCCTCATCACTTCCTAGCTGGGCTCTGACTCCTTCCGCCACCCCTCACTACAATCCTCTTCACACAGCAGCCAGAGGGATTTTTACAAGAGAAAAAGACGATTGTGCACTTTCGCAGCCTACAACCCTTTATCCCATTGGGCAAAACAAGCAGCCTAATTGAATCCTTATATAAAGATCCAGCAAACTGGCTCGGTGCGGTGGCTTATATCCCTGTAATCCTGCACTTTGGAAGGCTAAGGTGGGAGGATTGCTTAAAGATAGGAGTCTGAGATCAGCCTGGGCTACACAGCCCAAACCCCACCTCTACAAAAAATTATTTTAAAAAATTAGGTGGCCTGGGCCAGGTGCGGTGGCTCAGGCCTGTAATCCCAGCACTTTTCGAGGCCATGGCAGGCAGATCACGAGGTCAGGAGATCGAGAGCATCCTGGCTATGGTGAAACCCCGTCTCTACAAAAATATAAAAAATTAGCCAGGTGTGGTGGTGTGCACCTGTAGTCCCAGCTACTCAGGAGGCTGAGGCAGGAGAACTGCTTGAAACTGGGAGACAGGTTGCAGAGAGCTGAGATCATGCCACTCTACTCCAGCCTGGCAACAGAGCAAGACTCCATCTCAAAACAAAACAAAACAAAAAAAACTTAGCCAGCTGGGGCCAGGCAAGGTGGCTCATGCCTGTAATCCCAGCACTTTGGGAGGCCGAGGTGGGTGGATCACAAGGTCTAGCAGTTTGAGACCAGACTGGCCAATATGGTAAAACCCTGTCTGTATCAAAAATATAAAAATTAGCTGGGCGTGGTAGCGAGCACCGGTAATCCCAGCTACTCAGGAGGCTGAGGCAGGAGAATCACTTGAACCCAGGAGGCAGAGGCTGCAGTGAGCCAAGATTGCTCCATTGCACTCCAGCCTGCACAACAGAATGAGACTCTGTCGACTCAAAAAAAAAAAAAAAATTAGGCAGGTATGGTGGTGCATGCCTATGGTCCCAGCTACTCCAGAGGCTGAGGCAGGAGGATCACTTGAGCACAGGATTTGAAGGTTGCAGTGAGCTGTGATCGTATCACTGTACTCCAGGCCTGGGCAACAGAGTGAGCAAGACCCTGTCTCCAAAAAAAAAAATTCAACAAAGGAGTTGCTATTTCCATTTTGCAGAAAAGGAAACTAAGGCTCAGAGAGGGTATGAGACAATGAGGTTGCACAGTTAGTAGAAAATGGAACTGGACTGAAAACCAGGCTAGGAACCCACCATGACTCAGAAGACGGCAGTAACTGAAACGAAAGTGCTTCAAGGAGCCTCGCCATGTGCTTCTGGCTTCTGACTTCTGTGTAACCAACTCAACTGCCAGGCACAGTTCTTCCCGGAGGCCTGCTCTGAACACCACCACCTCTGGATGCTGGGCTGGGGCAACGGGTCCTGCCTGTACCTTGGCTTGGGGCACTAACTCCTATTACACATTAATACCCCAGTTTGAATTTGAAGGAGGACAAAGTTAAGATGTTCAAGTTGGGGTTTCCAAGTTATTTCTGAGCCGTAAACATTCTAGGCAGTTCTATTCTATGAGGGAGCAGAAAGCCAGGTAGCCTGGTACAAAAGAGCTTGGGTTTTTGAGTGTGACCGACCTGGTTCTCACCCAGCTCTGCCAGTCCTTAGCTGTGCGGCCATGGGTGAGCCGCTTGCCCTCTCTGGTCCCAGCTTCCTATCCTAGAGCAGATGATCTGAGGTCTGTGTGACTCTGTGCTATCCAAGCCTCAGCTCCTTCACCTGCCACATACTAGATGGGGCTGGTGTGAGGATTATGTGAGAGGATCTGGGCCAGCACAGGGGGCAGCCTGGCACTTAGCGCTCACATGAGAAAGGCTATGATAAGTACCACGGCCACCTGCGTAATGTAAGTGAGCACTGAGTTCTCTCACGGATCTCGGGGCCTCCTTGGAACTCTGTGACTTAGCAGTAAAATCCAAAGTCTAAGCTGGCTGGGGACGGGATATTCCAGAGTTCACCTCCCTGCCCACACTGCAGCAACTGGGTGTACCTCATCTTTTTGAGGGAGAGGGAAGGAGGATGAAGAAGACCCATTACAGACCCAAGGGACCCAGCCTGGAACCACAGGTTAAATCTCTCCTCATTTCAAAGTGTGTCTCAGCCGGGCACGGTGGCTCACGCCTGTGATTTCAGCACTTTGGGAGGCCAAGGTGGGTGGATCATCTGAGGTCAGGAGTTCAAGACCAACCTGGCCAACATGGTGAAACCCCGTCTCTACTAAAAAAAATACAAAAATTAGCTTTGCGTGGTGGCAGGTGCTTGTAGTCCCAGCTACTCAGGAGGCTGAGACAGGAGAATCGCTTGGTCGCAGGACAGGGAGGTTGCAGGGCACCGAGATCTTGCCATTGCATTACAGCCTAGGCAACAGAGCAAGACTCTGTCTCAAACAAAATAAAATAAATAATAAAATAAAATAAAGCAAGTATTGCTGGGCGCCGTGGCTCACACCTATAATCCCAGCACTTTGGGAGGTCGAGGTAGGTGGATCACAGGGTCAGGAGTTCAAGACCTGAACTCCTAGTGAAACCTCATCTCTGCTAAAAATAGAAAAATTAGCTGGGCATGGTGACGGGCACCTGTAATCCCAGCTACTCGGGAGGCTGAGGCACGAGGATCACTTGAACCTGGGAGGTGGAGGTTGCAGTGAGCTGAGATCATGCCACTGCACTCCAGCCTGGTGACACAGCGAGACTCCATCTCAAAATATAAATACATACATAAATAAATAAAGCATGTCTCATGTTGGAAGTGGGGAGTGGTAGAAGGTACAGATTTCAAAAGGGACTGGGATGAAGGTGGTGGGTTACAGCTCCCCACTCCCCACCCCACACCCTCTGTTCAGCCTGAACAAGCCTTTCCCCACACTGATGTTTTAACACCCAATATCTTCCTGGTTCTTTGTCAAGCGCTTTCCTTCTATTTGCATGAATTTCACAACAGTGCCAGGAAACAGCAAAATCAGTACCTGGCATATAGTGGGTGCTTAAGAAAACCCTGCTGTTGAAATCCTCTATTACAGATGAGGAAAAGGTGGCTTTGGGAGGTTGGAGGAGGCACCCTCACTGTCAGAAAAGGCACCCTCACTGCTAAAGCTCCAAACTATACTACTCCTTGTCTTCAGAGGCAAATTAGAATTAGGTCAGGAGTACAAGCTCTGAAAGAACAGCGGTCTTGGTTGATTTCAGCCTTTTCCACTTACTGGCTGTGGGACCTTCTGTTAGTCACTTAACCTCTCTGAGCCTTCCATTCCTCATCTTTCCCATCAGGGTTGAAGCACAGATTAGAAACCAAGTGTACAAAATGCTCAGTCAATGGCACTGCTACCCACACCCCTCCACAACACTACAGACCAGGCTGTGAACTTGCTGTGTGACTGTGGGCAACTCATCTTCCCTCTCTGAGCCTCAGTTTTTAAGATGGCGCCATTGGACATGCCCATCTAGCCCCTCAGGATCCATACTTAAACCACAGGACTGAGCCTTGGGCCCACCCACATCTGCCACACCCCCACCAGGGCTAGTCCCACCAAGCCACATACCTTGAAGCCCTCTCTGGTCACCTGGCCCTTCTGAAAGTTCCTCATGAACTCAGCATTCTCTGCCTGGGTGTGCACCTCCTTGGTGGCCTCCTTCAGGGCCTCTGACAAATCCTGGGGCATGCTGAGGAGGAAACAGGAAGGATGAATACGAAGCTGACTGGAGCGGTGGAGGGGAGGGGGTCCTTCCCAACTGCTGAGCTCCAGGGTGCTGCCGACTCCCATCCTCATTCAGGCCACGTTCCCAGTCACGCTAAGATTAGCAGCCTTGTGGTCGGGGGCAGTGACTTATGCCTGTAATCCCAGCACTTTGGGAGGGCAAGGTGGGCAGATCACCTGAGGTCGGGAGTTCGAGACCAGCCTGGCAAACATGGTGAAATCCAGTCTCCACTAAAAATACAAAAATTAGCTGGGTGTGGTGGCAGGTGTCTGTAATCCCAGCGATTATAGGTGTAATTGCCTGAACCCCAGAGGCAGAGGTTGCAGTGAGCCGAGACTGTGACACTGCACTCCAGCCTGAACAACAGAGGAAGACGCCATCTCAGAAAACAGAAAAAAACAAGATGCAGTCTTGTAAACACTCTTCAGTCATTACAACACAACAAAATAGGCCGGGCGCGGTGGCTTACGCCTGTAATCCCAGCACTTTGGGAGGCCAAGGCGGGTGGATCACGAGGTCAGGAGATCTAGACCATGCTGGCCAACATGGTGAAACCCCGTCTCTACTAAAAATACAAAAACTAGTCAGGCGTGGTGGTGCGTGCCTGTAATCCCAGCTACCTGGGAGGCTGAGGCAGGAGAATCTCTTGAACCAGGGAGGCAGAGGCTGCAGTGAGCCAAGATAGCACCACTACAATACAGCCTGGGTAACAGCGTGAGACTCTGTCTCAAAAACAAAACGAAAAAGCACGAAACAATATAGTCCTCCAAACCGTGGGAGAAATCCTGGTACTGGTAGTTCCCAGTGGGGAGGAGGAGGAGGTACCCCACGACCAAGGAAGAAGCAGCAGGCCCTCTCCAACTTTGTAATTACTTTGATTGGCTTTTAAACCCAATATTTAATTCTGTTATTTTGTTAAAGTTTCAGGCGCAAATCTCATGCCCCCCATGGTGGTGTGCTCATCCTTAAGGCGTCAGGGTGAAAAAGCCTGAGAAACTCTGCTTCGGTCAAAGAAACAGGCTCTCCGGGAATATTTCTGTCACGGGTCCATATCCCCGCCTCCCCTTACAATTGTCGTTCTCCCCTTTTCTCCCACCCCGCTTCCAGGAACAGCATCCCCGGTTCTGCAACACAGCGGGTCAAATCCTTGGGAGAAGTGGCACACACTCGTAGTCCCAGCTACTCTGGAGGCAGAGGTGGGAGGAGGCTTGAGCCCAGGAGTTTAAAAAAAAAAAAAGAATAAAATTTTTTTTGAGGCAGAAAAAAAAGATTTTCTTGCTGCCCAGGCTGGAGTGCAATGGCGTGATCTAAGCTCACTGCAACCTCCACCTCCCGGGTTCAAGCGATTCTCTTGCCTCAGCCTCCCTCCTGAGTAGCTGGGATTACAGGAGCCTGCAATGACCCCCAGCTAATTTTTCTATTTTAAGTAGAGACAGGGTTTCCTCTATGTTGGTCAGGCTGGTCTGGAGCTCCCAACCTCAGGTGATCCACCTGCCTCGGCTTCGCAGAGTGCTGGGTTTACAGTCATGAGCAACCACACCCTAAGAAGGGAATGAGTGACCTGGAGGTGGGCAGACCCAGGTTCAAGGCTGCTGACTGAGCAATCTTGGAGATGCTGGCTCCTTGAACCCTGTGATCCTTGTCTGTGAGACTGGGAATACAGTAGCTAGAGTGATGTCTGACTCAGCTCCTCTGTAGCTGGTGAGGGACAGATGCCACCAAGAGAACCAAGCACGTGCCCCCAGGCTGGGGGAGCCCCAGGTATCTAGATTCAGCAGACAGCTCCAAGCACACCTCAAAAGTTGGATTAAAACAAAATTGGCTCCCTCACGGGGGAGCCCCAGAGATCTAGATTCAGCAGAGAGCATCTCCAAACACACCTCGAAAGTTGGATTAAAAAAAATTGGCCACCTCAAAGGCTGGGTACCCTAGGGACACTCCCATCTTGGTCACCTACCGCCTACCAGGATGCCAGGCATGTAAATCACCGTTCCTCCCTCCAGCTACCCTACGGGCACGAGCAGGATCGGAACCCTGAGCCTCCTGACTCCGGAGAGCCCAAGTTCCTGGCTCCTGGGCTCTGCCGCTGCGTGGCAGTATCCCGGGGAGGGGCTGGGGCGCGAGCTGGGTGGGGAGGGAAAGGCGCCCGGGCGCCCCGCGCTTGCCTGTCGGGTTGCGTGCGCTCCATCTGGCCGGTGCTGGGTCGTTCGTGCTGGCTCCGCGGGCGGCGGCGGCGCTGAAGACGCTCGAGAGCAGGCGGGCGATGACTGTGCCGAGCCGCGGCCGGTCACATTTATGCTCGGCGGGTCACGTGGGCCGGGCGGAACAGCTGATTCCCACTTTCTGGCCGGGAGTTGCAACACCCCCAGGGGCCCGCGCCCAGCCCGCCCCGGGCCAGTGCCGGGTGGAGGGGAGCGGTCATATGACCCTCGGGAAACAAAGTCTGGCCATAGGACTTTTAGAAAACACACACACACACACACACACACCCCTTAAGGAAATCTGAGCAGCTACAGGCTCTGGGTGTGATTTTGCTCCATCCTGAGCCACGATCACCCCCCCAACCCCCCGCTTCTGCTCCCTGCCCCTATGGGACTTGATGCACCCCAGATATCACGGAAGTTCCAGAAAGCTGGGAGGCAGCGCTTCTCAGAGCAAGAGGCTGGTGGGCAACATCGGGGACTCAGCAACCCAGACCCTGCTGTCTCCAGCTCCCTAAAATTCACCTCCTGGAATCCTCTGCTGACAGTTTGTCTTTCTCACACCCACTTTATTTATTTATTTATTTTGGGGGACGAAGCTGTTACCCAGACTGGAGTGCAATGGCACACTCTTGGCTCACCACAACCTCCACATCTACATGTTCAAGCGATTCTCCTGCCTCAGCCTCCGAAGTAGCTGGGATTACAGGCACCCACCACCACACCCAACTAATTTTTGTATTTTTAGTAGAGTCAGGGTTTCACCATGTTGGTCAGGCTGGTCTTGAACTCCTGACCTCATGATCCGCCCACCTCTACCTTCCACAGTGCTGAGATTACAGACCTGAGCCACTGCGACTGGCCACACCCACTTCAAATGGACATTTAGGATCTGTTTTTTGAGTTCCTATAAAAAAACAGAGATGTATTTTCATGGTTTGTCCTTGCAACTGTCCTGTGGGAGTAGGTCACTCCCATTTTACAGATGGGGAAACCTTGGCTCTGAGGGACGTGGTGGTGTCACACATAAAGCAGGAAACCATGTCCAAACCCAGGGAGGAGACTTAAGTCCCCGCCTGCCTCCTCCACACTCGGGCAGCACCTGGTACCTGCATGGACTGGGACACCTGTCATAAAAACTGCTTCCCTGCTGGGATGTGTGGGACACTCTTCCAGGCACATTCAAGTTTGACTTAAACTCAGTGACTGCTCAGGGCCCCGAGCACACCTGGCCCTTGCTAATCGCGTATAGAATCACTTCCACATGAGGTGGACTGCTTAGGCCTTGGGGGAAATAGGGTGACTGGGTGAGCACAGAGGACAAAACAAATGGACCAGATGATTCATAAACCCCTTTCCCAATACCACGATTCTCAGTATAAGATTTTTTTTTTTAAGATAGCTTTCAGACCAGCAAGGGTAGCTCACACCTGTAGTCCCAGCACTTTGGGAGGTTGAGGTGGGAAGATTGCTTTGAGCCCAGGAGTTCAAGACTAGCCTGGGCAATATAGGGAGACCCGTCTCTACAAAATATAAAATTAATTAGCTAGGCATGGTGGCACATGCCTGTGGTCCCAGCTACTTGGGAGGCTGAGGCTGGAGGTTTGCTGGAGTCTGGAATGTAGAGGCCGAAGTGAGCTGTGATCATGCTACTGCATTCTCTTCTTTTCTTCTTCTTCTTTTTTTTTTTTTTGTAGAGATGGAAGTCTCACTCTGTCACCCAGGCTGGAGTGCGATGGCACGGTTTTGGCTCACTGCAACCTCTGCCTCCTGGGTTCAAGCAGTTCTCCTGCCTCAGCCTCCCAAGTAGCTGGGATTACAGGTGCTTGCCACCATGCCCTGCTAATTTTTTTGTATTTTTGTTACAGACAGGGTTTCATCATGTTGACCAGGCTGGTTTTGAACTCCTGACCTCAAGTGATCCGCCTGCCTCAGCCTCCCAAATTGCTGGGATTACAGGTCTGAGCCACCACTTGCTGCCTCATGCTACTGCATTCTAACCTGGGCAAAAGAACAAGACCCTGTCTCTCAAAAAAAAAAAAAAAAAATGAGGGGGAAAAAAAAAAAAAAACTTCCTCATAGGGCCACTACTTCCCAGAGGCACTTCTGAGTGAATTGGAAAGGATTATTCTCCCAACAGTGTGCTAAGGGCCTTGAAAAAAAATCCCCCTTCTTTCTCTGAAGATTCCCTGAAAACCACCTGACAAAGGGCAGTTTATCTTTTTGTTTTTTTTTTTTTTGTTGTTGTTGTTGTTGTTTTCAAAACTCAGGTTAATAGGAGAAAAGGCATACAAGAATGTATTTTAAGGTGGTAATCAGGTAATCACGGAAGAAAGGTGACCCTGTAACCCAGGGCAGTACAGACCCTTTTTTATAGGGGAGAAGGTCGATGGGGAATGCAGACAATTGTTTTGAAAGAGGTCAGTCATTAAAAAGAAAGAACGGCCCTGCAGGTGAAAGGCAGACAGTAAAGGGAAGGGAGAGGAGGAGCTGCACAGGGACAAAGGTCGTCCTATGCAGATAATGTTTTCTTTCTTTTTTTAGAGACAGGTCTTGCTATGTTGCCCAGGCTGGAGTGCAGTGGCTATTCACAGGCGGGATCCCACTACTGATCAGCACAGGAGTTTTGACTTGCTCCGTTTTTGACCTGGGCCGGTTCACCCCTCCTTAAGCAACCTGGTGGTCCCCCGCTCCGAGGAGGTCACCATATTGATGCCGAACTTAGTGCGGACACCCGATCGGCATAGCGCACTCCAGCCCAGAACTCCTGGGCTCAAGCGATCGTCCCACCTCAGCCTCCCCAGTAGCTGGGACTACAGGCACGCGCCACCGCGCCCAGCTCCAGATAATTTCTTACCTGCCCTCAGAAGACCAGATAAATCTGTCTGGGCCTGGTGATGACTCCCAGTTTTTTTCTCTCTCCAGTGGTTGATCTTTCCTGGATATTTGATGAGATTCGTAGAAAAAGGGCTTAACACAGTTGTATTCCTTTTGGGAAGAAGTGTTCTTGATCAGATAAGGAAATTCCAGAGACAGTCTCTCCCTGCGCTTGTTAGGGGTACAAGACAAGCAAGCTTAGAGGGGACCTTGCCTCTGAGGCAGCCCCTAAGGCCTCTCATCATGTCAGAGCACCAGCTGTCTGGTATCACTTTCGGAGCCCCAGCAGTGGCATGCAAAGCACAAGGATGGAGACCTTGTCCGCTTTGTTTTGTAAGTCCGCAGTTCCTGGGGAGCAGTGCCTGGCAGGTCACAGACAGTTAATACTAAATGCAGGCATGAATGAATAGATACTTCAGGGTCTCTTTCTGGGAAAAATAATAATGTTGTCAGCCTGTAATCTTACTGGGCTGACAGAGTGGACTGGAAGCAAACCACAATTCCAAACTGTCATTCTAACCAGGCTTTATTCAGAATTTACTACATGCAGAGACTTTACGTGCCCATCCTGACAACAGTCTTGCAAGGTATGGCCAAGCATCATTTTTTTTTTTTTTTCCAGACAAAATCTCGCTCTGTCACCCAGGCTGGAGTGCAGTGGCACGATCTCAGCTCACTACAGACTCCGCCTCCAGGTTCAAGTGATTCTCCTGCCTCAGCCTCCCAAGTAGCTGGGATTACAGGTGCGCGCCACCACGCCCAGCGAATTTTTGTATTTTTAGTAGAGATGGGGTTTCACCATGTTGGCCAGGCTGGTCTCAAACTCCTGACCACAGGCGATCTGCACACCTCGGCCTCCCGAAGTGCTGGGATTACAGCCGTGAGCCACCACGGCCCATTATTTTCATCTCTATTTTACCCACATAAGCACTGAGGGACAAAGAAGATAAGTAAATTTCCCAAGTCACACAGTTAACGATGGTAGAGCCAGGATTCGAACTACAGCACTTTGAAGCCAGCCCTTGCAGTCCTGACTACCATACCCCAACCCCTCTCACAGAGGGTGCAGGAGTTTAGAGGCGATGATAAGTTGGCATGTGTAGATCCAAAGTCTGTCAAATGAGCGACGCTAGAGGGTAAAACCCATGAGATCTGACCCCTTTTTATTTAACACAGGGAAGCAGAGACCCCAAGAGCAGGAGGGACTTGACCAGGCTATACCCCCCATTGGAAACAGAACCTCTAGTGACCTAGGGTTCCCGGCTCCCAGTCTGGGCTTGCTCTCTGCGAGCCCCAGACTTACTTAGAACAGACCCCCAACACGGGTTGCTGGGGTGGAAGAGGCCAGGCTGGAGACGTTCTGGTCCTCTCTGCTGTCCCAGTGCTGAGCTTGTGGCCCTGTCGCATGCTGATTCAGCTTTCTGACTTCCCCTTCTTTTTCCTCAAGCAACAGAAAGATCCAAATGCTATTCTCTCTCCTCTTGGTGAGCCAAATAGCAGCCCCTGAAAGATGTCCACATCCGCTGGGCACAGTGGCTCACGCCTGTAATCCCAGCACTTTGGGAGGCTAAGGCAGGAGGAGCTCTTGAACCTGTAAGTTCAGAACCAGCCTGGGCAACATGGTGAAACCCTGTCTCTACTAAAAATTAAAAAATTAGCTGCCTATAATCCCAGCTGCTGGGAAGGCTGAGGCAGGAGAATTGCTTGAAATGGGGAGGCAGAAATTGCAGTGAACTGAGATCGCATCACTGCACTCCAGCCTGGGTGACAGAGGGAGACTCAAAAAAAAAAAAAGATGTCCACATCCAAATCCCCAAAACCTAGAAAAGGTGAAAAAACAGATTCTTTTGTGGAGCTCCAGAGGAATGCAGCTCTGCCCACCCATGTTAGGACTTCTGACCTCCAGAATGCAGGGAATAAATTCATGCTGTTTTAAGGCACGAAGTGTGTGACTTACGGCAGCAACAGGAAATGAATTCTCCCCTACTGAAAGCCTGTCTTGCTCGTACCTGGGACAGACCCTCAGCTTTGGGAAGCAGGGAAGGACAGACAGAGGCCCTAAGGACCCTGGGGTGTTCTCCTCAACTACTGTTTTCCCAGGATACGTCTCTCAGTGTGCTGTCTGACGTCCACCATGAAAGCTTTATTCTGAGGCTGGGTGTGGTGGCTCACGCCTGTAGTCCCAGCACTTTGGGAGGTTGAGGCCTGTGGATCACAAGGTCAGG